AATTACTTGTTCAGTACTTAACTGTGGATCTAATTATCATTATTCAAGTGCGGGGATAAGCCAATCAATATTTAGAAAAATGACACTTATTCATAAACAGGAAATGGAAATGTCTAAAATGCAAGTCAGGGAAAAAATGTGATTTAAAAAAAGATGTTTCAGAAGATAATGAAGAAAATATTACAGATGTATTTAAAACATTTATGAGAGATGTGTCCAAGCAGCTGAAAATTCTTCCAACACTAAAGGAGGATTTAGATAAGATTTAAAATGGTAAAAACCATTTCACAAGATCTAGTCATCATATTTATAGGCAACATTGTAGGTTAAGTAAAGCCCTCAAGTCTTTCAATGTTCTTAGTATTAATTTGTTTAACAAACTGCCTCATAGCGCAAAAGAAGTTAGTAATAGTAAATTTGAGAGAGTTTTGTCAGATTGGTTAGTGGAAAACCCCATGTATAGTGTTAACGAGTTCTTGAAAATGACTTTCAACGATTCAATGTTACCATTCTGTGTTAAGGTCTAGGCCTATACATCTGTTTATTTTTAAGTAGGCCAAGATTTAAAAAAATGTGACTTTGCCCATTGCATGTACATGTTTAACGGCAATAAACGATAAAAAAAAAATAAAAAAATAAGAAGACAGCAAGGAAGTTATTAAAAGTCAGCACTTCATAAGGGAACAGTGAGGATATTATCTTTGACTATTAATACAACAATAATAGTATGGAATATCTTCTGTATCCAATAGTCAATGATATTATCCACAAGCTGGAACTTCTACCGAAGCTGGAAGAAAAGTTGGAGAAAGTACAGTTGGTAATTCAGCAAAAGGATGAAGAGATTCACGATTTGAGTATGCGTCTAAGCCAATTACCTAGTAGCACAAATATATATTAAATACATATGAATAAATATATTTAAAATCTATTTTATATATCTCAAGTGTGTATTAATGTCAATTTTATATAATATTTAAATTATATTAAATATATAAAAAATATGTTTTTGAATCTATTAAATATTTAAAAAATATGTTCCAATAATATATTTTAGTGAATAATATTTAAATAAATAATTTATTTTTGTAAAAAAATACAACCGACTTCAAACGCTCTAAATAGAATGAAATAATTTCAATAAAGTAAACTTTTTTATTAGTCAAGCTCATGTATTTCAAGTCGGCGCGGCTCTATAATGATTTTTGATACAACATTTAAAGAGGATGTCTACATTGCATGTGGCTATCTATAACTAAAGGTGTTAATCTGCGTGTCTTTTTCATAGGTCGTTATTTTATTACTGTAACCAAAGATCGGCAGATACCATCATAACTTTTTTGAAATAGGATAATAAATTAAAATCTTATAGTGGTATTAACGAGTATCTTTAAAAAGATTATAATGATTTTAATGTTTCTAGCTTGGAAAAGTAACGTTTTAATATTTAACTAGATTCTTTTCCCTATCATATATCAAAAATAAATCAGTTTCCTATTCATATAGAACATTTATGTGTGTTATTTTCATAGTGCATTCATTCTGATGTAAACATAAAATACAAGAAAATACTTCATTTGATATATAAACAAAATAGTTCAGTATGTTTTTTATATATTTATGTTACCCAGCTACAATTTATTGATTTTCAAAATACACTCTCAATCTTTTATTGTATTCATATTTGCAGTTAGAGCCACGCCGACTTGAAATACGTGAGCTTGACCAATAAAAAACTTACTTTACTGAAATTATTTCATTCTTTTTAGAGCGTTTGAAGTCGGTTGTATTTTTTTACAAAAATAAATTATTTCATGATTTTTAGTGACTGTATAATTTTTTATATACTGATTACTTGAGGTTTTTCGATAAGCAAAACTGTTTGAACCAATCAAAAGTGTCACAGAACAATCATTATCTTAAAACTGCTTGAGTCGCCTGTTCAGGTTACCGGTATATAATCAATGGGTATAAAAATTAACATTTTTAGATTTCCCCTAAACAACAAAGAGTTGTCCATTACGTTAGGCCAGGCCTAATGAAAAACTAATTGTCTTTCCTAGAGACATTGAAATGCCAGACATTATCATTTCCTGAAATCGGTGTACTTCTACATTAAAAAAAAAAATACAGTAATGTCTCAAGCCTTTTGGAACAATATAAAAGTTATTCCTCAGCCACCAGCACTAAAAAATCTCTCAAAAGTAGAAAATTGGTTGTTATCACGTATAGTACCTTTGTAAAATATGTAGGAATATATGTATATGAAAGACTGGTTCAGCTAAAAGTGGTGTAAGGGGTAGGTGGTTTTGTTTGCTCAAGATGTAGTGTAACTCAAAATTGCAAATCAGTTTCCTCTAGGACTTTCCGAAGCAGGCATAATAGTATTGATATGATATAGAACATGGTTGGAGAATATTAATAAACATTCCACATCTGCAAATGCATGTTTAGTAATTAAAATATTTAACACTTTTAAGACGATTGACGATTATGCACTCTCACACTTCTTCGGTCCTATAAGGAATAATTGCATTTAATTTATATTTGGACCTCTTTTACGAATGCTTTGGTTTTCACAATACACCTTTATTTGTCAATATCATACAGCTATTCAGTATGTTTTTGTAAGTCAGAATATTCAATACTCAAAACAGAATTATACACAAATTAGGTCAAACGTTGAAATACCTTTTTTATAGTAACCAAAACGAAATACATTTTTTCAATGTAATTTATTTAGGCACCATGGTAAGAAATAGTTTATTAATCAATATGAAGCAACTGTTTCACGAAGAACTGTCTGTAGCTTCATTTAAATGGTTTCAACTAACAGCTGTAGGAATATTATTATTATTTATTGACTTATCTGCACAAATATAAACAAATTAAATGTTGAATATTTTAGGTTTTCAGCATTTTTCACCGAAACAAATATTACACTTAAACATAATGCTATATATATGGTACAAAATAGAAACTCTCCTGGTTATTTTGGTGGTGGAACCACGCTGATCGGTAAAAGAATCGCAGAGAAATTGGTGAACATACATAGAAAAAAAACATCGCCACAGACAAATTGAGAACCTCCTCCTTTTGTTGGTAGTGGGGAAGTCGGTTAAAAATGTATTTAATATCACTTCCAAACATCCCATGGGGCCTAAACGTAAAAACACAAAATAATAAAGATTTAGTGTGAAAAGCACAAGAGCCGCACGGGTTCTCTAGTTATAATATACTAGCTGTTGTACCCATGCTTTGCAACGGGATGAGGACGCGAAATAGATACCTTTTTGATCTTGTTACATCTGTTGTATCACAGCCACCTCTAATACAAGGCCGCGGCAAGCGAAAAGTGGCAACGTTGCATCCGTGTCTCGGTGCGCGGTTGTCTTACCATTACAGTGAATGGAGGAGTCGCGTACCGACGTACATAATCGCGTTTCTACTACCCTTAATCATTAGTAATGATATTGAACTTGATACTACTGCATTCCAGATAGATGTGATGTGCCTGGATGCAAGAATAATTACAAAAGCTCAATTAAAAATTAATAATACATACAGTGTTCTAAGATTCTAAGTGATCCGCCGCGTAAGCAACAATGGCTTCTCGCTATTCTTCGGTCAAATTAGACATCTTAAAACAATTCTCGTTTTTGTATGAAACATTTTCACGAATATGAACTTAGATTTGTAAAAAAATGTAAGAATAAGACAATGATTTGTGTAAATAAAGACGCGAGTAGCGATTTTTAGGTATGAGAATGCCGTACTATTTCCTTATTTATTTGTCTATCTTATTGATAAAAGCTGTTGTTAAGTGATTCAAATAACTTAAATAACTAGCACTTCGAAGAAATAAACAGGTGTTTCTGTTAAGTAGGCCTACTAGTAAAAAATATGTACTACACCGTCTAACAATAAAAGCATCATAGTCTCCAACTCCAGTATAAATGTTGATGTGATAAACCAATTCTATAAATATTGTGGAAAGCCATATGGAGGCCTAGCTTCTGAAATCGTTTACAAAATTAAAAACATTTTGCTTAGTAATTATTTAAAGAAAATTAATTATTTAGGTAGTATGCCTACAAAAAGAAAACTTCAAATTTTGTTGTTGCTAACTAATGGTTTCCTCAGGTGGACTAAAACATAATATTCCTATTGAAAATTGAAAATTAATTTATTCGAACAAATTGTTAGATGTTAGTCTCTACAAATCCCAAAGTCTCTACAAATATTGAAGTGGCAATAAGTTAGTCCTACTGTGTTACCATTCTTGGTATAGTAGCTATATTTTGTAAAATTTAAACCCAGTCTGTCTAGTAGTTTTTACTATGTTGAATAACACACACATATATACAGATACCATAAGATTGTTATATAATAGTATAGATTATCAAATTAACAAAGGAAATATGTAACGTTCGTCTATTGCCACATTTATCGTACTTACAATACGATAAATGCAACCAAAAACATTATGTTTGTATTTTTAGTTTTAGACATATTGTGGTATGTTGCAATTTTTCTATAAATACAAAACCTAGATTCTAATTTGTCTATTCTACCATACCCTAAAACCCACTAAAATATGTAATTTAAATACTTTCATTCACTGATACAGAGCAGCAATACTCTCATTGATGTTTATAGCCTAGCACGAGTGCTGGACTCAGGCGGCGGGTGAGTGCGGCGTTGCCAGTTCGAACGTCGCGGCCTTGTATTAGAGGTGGCTGTGGTTGTATAAAATATATACACATCTGCCAACCCTTTTAGAAAACAAAATTCATCCGAATCACTTAGTTTGATAGACATTTATGGCTTTTAAATCAGTAAACCGCAATTGTGTCATAGGGAAGTGAGCTAATTTATGTATATAGAGTGTTGGAAATATTCTTTTCTTGTTGTTTGGAATTGTTGAATTTTTTTAATATATAGCAGGACTCTACTGTTTGATGCTGCATTTACTGATCTTATATCCTTATTATGGACAGGAGCTGTTACTCTGGTGAAGAATATCGCCCATCCCATATCTTTAGCTCGTCGAGTAATGGTGGAAACCCCACATGCCTTCCTGGGGGGTGAAGCAGTCAATGAGTTTGCTGCTAGGATGGGTGTGCCGACCGTACCTGATGACTATCTGTTCACCTCTGCAGCCCAGGCCGCTCTGGATCACTTCAAGCAGGCTAAGTCTATTCCATCTAAAATGGAAATTGGGTTAGTACACTAGAATCATTAAAGGTATATGTCTGCTTCGGCATAAATACCATATGAGCAAATGTAGTGTAATTTCTTTAGATTACCAATCAATTCAATCCAGAACAAATCTTCTTTGAATTAATAGAGGATGTTTTAAAAACCACTGGGGATTACCTTGAGGATGGATTTTGTTTACAGTTAACTCTTTATTATCTGCTGGCAGTTTCTCCTTGTGACCGCAAAAATGTGTATTTATTAAAATGTAATTCGATAAGGAACTAGTCATAACTTGGAAACTGGGCTTGTCAATTCATAATTATTAATTACTTGATCCCACTGTCTCTAGTGCTCTTAAATTAAAAATATAATAAATCTATTCAGACTAAAATGTGTAAAGAAAAGAAGTACAAGTCTTAACAAATATACATTTAATAAATAGTTATTTGTGTAACTAGTGCGAGTAGCAGTGCAAGATTTAAGGTACGCGCGGCCCTAGGCCAAATTAATTGAGTGGCCCCCAACCCTGTGGTGGAATTCCCTCTAATAGCGGTGAAATCATAAGAATCTCCCACAGTCATCATCATCGTCACCCCTAAGTAGTCATTTTCGAAACAGAACGTTAAAATGTTTCATTCATTGAATGTCGTCAAATCTTCTTAAATATATTGAACACAAACACAACACGAACACGGTAGACATTTAACATAGTTGGCCGGCCGGCGCACGTCACTGAACTGGTCGACAATGACTGTTTACCCCACTCCATTCCGTTTTTCAGCTGTGCCCCCAGGACTCATGTTGCCAACATAATTGTTACCAAAGTAATCTAAAACTGTATTGAATAATTTATTTGAGCCATAATTAAGTTTTTCATTAAGCATTTTGTATGGGTCGGATTTAGTGGCTTTGTATATCCCAAATTCTTTGAGTGTGTCAAGGATGAAGCCTTTCTTACAAACATTTAGAATTTCTGCATTCTCATTAAAGCTATTAACAGTATGGTTTGAATTTAATAAATGTTCAGCAAACTTGGATTTTTGTTCTGTATGTTTTGGTTTAGGCAAATGTTCGGAAAAACGTTTCTTAAATGATCTGCCGGTCTGACCTATGTAATAGTTTGGACAGTCTGAATATTTAATTTTATATGTACCAGTAGCTAATTCATTCGGTTTATTGTTATTCGGCAGTCTTTTATTTAGTTTCGCCCCAAGTTTGTTAGACGTTCTATAGGCCAGGGTTAAGCCGTGAGGGTTCAATTCTTTCTTTAGTGTATAGTACCTGGGGAATGAGCTTTGCTCGGGGAAAATCATTAGTTTACTATGAAAGCAGTCTTAGTATTGCAGATACATAAATCCATTCCCAAACTCCACACTGCTTCCCATCACATTTTAGGATTCCAGATACCTTAAGGTATCTTAATCTAAGGTTGTTAAGGGTGTTAAGGTTGTTTAATCTAATCGTCATAAACAGTTCCCACACTACGGACAGCTCGCCTTGACTACTTCCTTTACCAATTGCTACGCCTCAGACCTGTTTCCCTCCCTTCCCATAGCATTTTAGGAATGCTAATACCTTAATTTAATTTTTCTAATCGTCATAAACAGTTCCCACACTCCGGACAGCTCGCCTTGACTACTTCCATCACCACTTCCTACGTCGCGGACCTGTTTCCCTCCCTTCCTATAGCATTTTAGGATTGGAAATACCTTAATATAATCGTCATAAACAGTTCCCACACTCCGGACTACTCGCCTTGACTACTTCCTGCACCACTTCCTACGTTGCGGACCTGTTTTCCTCCCTTCCCATAGCATTTTAGGATTGCAGATACCTTAATCTTATTGTCATAAACAGTTCCCACACTCCGGACTACTCGCCTTGACTACTTCCTGCACCACTTCCTACGTTGCGGACCTGTTTTCCTCCCTTCCCATAGCATTTTAGGATTGCAGATACCCTAATCTTATTGTCATAAATAGTTCCCTCACTCTGGACCGCTCGCCTTTACTACTTCCTTCCTTGCTAAGTCACGGACAAGTTTCCCTCCCTTCCCATAGCATTTTATGATTGTAAATACCTTAATCTTATCTTCATAAACAGATCCCACACTCCGGGCAACTCTCCTTTACTACTTCCTTCACCACTTCCTACGTCGCGGATCTGTTTCCTTTCCTTCCCTTCCCATAGCATTTTAGGATTGCCAATACCCTTATCTAATCGTCATAAACAGTTCCCACACTCCGGACAGCTCGCCTTGACTACTTCCTTCACCACTTCCTACGTCACGGACCTGTTTCCCTCCCTTCCCATAGCATTTTAGGAATGCTAATACCTTAATCTAATTTTTCTAATCGTCATAAACAGTTCCCACACTCCGGACAGCTCGCCTTGACTACTTCCATCACCACTTCCTACGTCGCGGACCTGTTTCCCTCCCTTCCTATAGCATTTTAGGATTGGAAATACCTTAATATAATCGTCATAAACAGTTCCCACACTCCGGACTACTCGCCTTGACTACTTCCTGCACCACTTCCTACGTTGCGGACCTGTTTTCCTCCCTTCCCATAGCATTTTAGGATTGCAGATACCCTAATCTTATTGTCATAAATAGTTCCCTCACTCTGGACCGCTCGCCTTTACTACTTCCTTCCTTGCTAAGTCACGGACAAGTTTCCCTCCCTTCCCATAGCATTTTATGATTGTAAATACCTTAATCTTATCGTCATAAACAGATCCCACACTCCGGGCAACTCTCCTTTACTACTTCCTTCACCACTTCCTACGTCGCGGATCTGTTTCCTTTCCTTCCCTTCCCATAGCATTTTAGGATTGCCAATACCCTTATCTAATCGTCATAAACAGTTCCCACACTCCGGACAGCTCGCCTTGACTACTTCCTTCACCACTTCCTACGTCACGGACCTGTTTCCCTCCCTTCCCATAGCATTTTAGGAATGCTAATACCTTAATCTAATTTTTCTAATCGTCATAAACAGTTCCCACACTCCGGACAGCTCGCCTTGACTACTTCCATCACCACTTCCTACGTCGCGGACCTGTTTTCCTCCCTTCCCATAGCATTTTAGGATTGGAAATACCTTAATCTAATCGTCATAAACAGTTCCCACACTCCGGACAGCTCGCCTTGACTACTTCCATCACCACTTCCTACGTCGCGGACCTGTTTCCCTCCCTTCCTATAGCATTTTAGGATTGGAAATACCTTAATATAATCGTCATAAACAGTTCCCACACTCCGGACAGCTCGCTTTGACTACTTCCTTCACCACTTCCTAAGTCGCGGACCTGTTTTCCTCCCTTCCCATAGCATTTTAGGATTGGAAATACCTTAATCTAATCGTCATAAACAGTTCCCACACTCCGGACAGCTCGCCTTGACTACTTCCTTCACCACTTCCTAAGTCGCGGACCTGTTTTCCTGCCTTCCCATAGTATTTTAGGATTGGAAATACCTTAATCTAATCGTCATAAACAGTTCCCACACTCCGGACAGCTCGCCTTTACTACTTCCTTCACCACTTCCTACGTCGCGGACCTGTTTCCTTCCCTTCCCATAGCACAATTATTTAAAAAAGCATTTATTATAAATCTGCAGGATGACACTGACTCTGATGGCTTAAGCGAAAATGGTGGTGAATATCTACTTTCCAGTTATGAGAGTGAATGATGTAATGGAACGTCTCCAGTACTTTTTTAACGTCCACATTACAACTAACATTTGTTAAATTTACACCATTGTGTTCATTTTGTGTTTTAATATATGTTTTAAAAATCAAATTAAATTTATATGTTTTTACGAGATTTGTTTTCTATTTGGTGTGTACTAAGGCATATTGGCCTTTTATTATTAAGGATTTGAAATATTTATACAATTATGAAAAATGCAAAAACTTTAATATAGCTGTTACATACAATTGGTTTAATTTGTGTGTATTTCCAAACATAACTCGTTCATTCAAATAGTATTATCAATTTGTTATGTTAGTTTATCCTCAGTAAAAGAAAATTGAATGCTCCTACTTGTCATTTACCTGACGAGTTTAATGTTGTAAACTGATTATTCAGGCATAAACAGGATAACCCAATGGTTTTCAACCTGATCTGACCTTAGGGCTCCGCTAGAGACATTGACAAAGTTCCTATTACCAACGGTATTAAAATAACAACAAAATAAAGAAGTGAAGAATCGCTTTAGAATTTTGAAACCAGTTCACTACGATATTAACTAATTTACTAATGTATAGTTACATTACCAGAACTGAAATTGTATTTAAAACAATCCATCAAAAGCAAAAATGTTAGTCCAGGATTATGTATATTACATTATAACAAAACTTTTAGTGAAATTAAAATTGATACTAATTAAATAACTTACGTCATCAATCCATAAATTTCTGTGGAGTCAGTGTAGCCGCAAACCTGAGCCCGTCCAGCTGTGCGCACGGTGTTATATCATAGTATTTCGTTACCTAAATGTTTCGTACGTGTCGTGTATGTGTGATAAATGTAAAATGTGTTTGGACTATTTATTTAAATCGACGCTGTTGCTACAAAGCAACATAGAAACAGATTCAACCTAGTGACAGTGGAGCTGAGGATGACCTAATGGTTGAAACGCGTACTCCACAGAAATTTATGGATTGATGACGTAAGTTATTTAATTATTTGATAACTCAATCCGTTGTGCTACAATATCGACATTATAAAATTGACGTAGATTATTTATTGTTAAAATAAATCTTATTGTTTTATTATGTGTGTAGTTCAATCATAATAAACAAATGCTTCCTAAAAAACCTGTCTGCAATATAAAACAGATGATTGTTACGGGGGATTTCAGTGTAGAAAAGGGTAAATGAGTGGGAGATTTACCATGATAGGGAAATCATATGTTGAATTCCAACCGCACAATTATTTTAGACAGACTATAACAAAGGGTTTTATGGGGTAAAATTGGGGTTTTCTCATTTTTTCCCCTCAAAACACAAAATTTCCCAAATTCTCTCCAGACCTTTTTAAAAAGCTTAAAAAACTAATAATTTAGTATATCAAAGTTTTTTTGTACAGTTTTTTATTGGTTACGGAGAAAATTCAAAAAAAATTTCATTTAAAATTCCCACATTATTCTTATGGAGAATATTGTAAAATGTTGTAGTTTGCCTATTTATAGATATCTTACTAATATTATATTCATATATTTTGATCTAACTTGGCAAATTTGTTTATCCTTTACTAAGCTATATTTGACTAAAAACACACTTTATTAGTTTCCTTGTAGCAGCAAACCTAGGAACTCGTTTAACCTATAATATTAATTTAATAGATAAACTAGTGTACCTGTTGCTCGAATTCAAGCAATTGCGAAGTGTCACCGGGGTTAAATAAATTCAGGCAAATGGAAATTCGCTTAGTCGGCAGGTTTGCTGCAGCGGGGCATTTGTTTGGATATAAACTAAAGAAATTTAAGCAGTTAGATTTTTTTATTACACTGTTCCTTTTTCATTCATGTCCTAAGGTGAAACAAACTGAAGTTTGGGTGCTCTAGCATATTTACCATTCAAGAAATCCTCATTTCTGTAATTTTACGCTTAAATTTTGACAGCGTTATATTCAATATTTAATAAGTTTTTTAAAAAAATTATATTTCCCCACCCTCTCAAGCTTTTCTTAATATAATGTTTCTCTTTATACCCCATAAACTTCAGAATACTTTCAAATAAGAAAATCACAGCCTCATCTCTTATTACTCCACTTGGGGTAGGACTGGTAGGAGAAATCTATGGGGTAATTAGAGAAAATTTTTTTTTACCAATTTTAAAAGTCATAGATCTTCCAAATTATTTGTTCACATCACCACATGGACCACTTATTGCTTGATGTTTTCATTCTTTTACTCCTATTAGATTTAGACATACAAATTAGGGTTCTCTTATTACCCCTTTTTTCTCTTATTATCCCCCGCTTCTGGCTTCCCCTACTACTGTAGCTTCGGAAACATTTAAGGATTAAAAACCGACATCAAAATTAATCGACAATGATAATAATAGCCATTTACATTACAAGTGTAGTAGGAGCGTTTTTACATCACGCAGGTGAATGTTGTGCAACAAGCGGAAGCGAGTTGCATAATTCACCTAAGTGATGTAAACACGCTCTTGCGTAGCATGTAACGTACAAGATTTTACCTGACCCATATACCCATTATACAGGGGGTCACGTACAATATTTTTCATTATCCATTTCACTCATCTTCTAACAGTAACGTTCTTTTAAAAATAAAAGCTAGGTTAGGAAAATACTTTTAAAAAATATTGAAAAAATATTGAATATGACTCCTTGAGTCATGACAAACCTGTCTAAGTGTGCGCACACGGTTCGTAGGCCTACTATTTTTTGTATATATGTTTGTAAAAATTAAATTTATTTGACGACCTCTGACGATTGAAAAGTTTTCTTGAAGACCTGATGATGATGCTATTATTGCTTCGAAACGCGTAGTCTCGACAGACAGCCTTTGGATTACTCTGGCAGATCCAGGTAACATTATACCTTTTATAATCTAAATACGTTAAAGCATAACAATAACATTCAAGCACACAGCTGATTTCTAGCCTTGAACGCCGTTGGCTCCATAGAGGTATGTTTTATTAAGTTGAGGACTCAATGTTATATAAATTATATAAATGTTATATAAATTCATTACTTCACCTAGTGAGTTTTTGAAACATTACTTCACTTGTGAAGTAAAGAAGTTGTTTACATCACGCTTGGGATAGGAAAGTTTAACATGGCGGGTTGGGTAAACATTATTTTATATTTATCTTTCTCCTCCAGCCTTTAAATCAACTGATTTGTTAGTAAATGTATTTGTCAAACATTTGTACTTCTACAGAGAGATAGGGGTGGGCACAGTGGGCAGTGTTGCCATAGATGCAGCCGGACACATGGCCTCAGCCACTTCTACTGGAGGTATCACAGGCAAGTACAACGGTCGCATTGGTGACACGCCATTGCTGGGGTGTGGAGGGTATGCAGACGATGAGCGAGGGACAGTGTCCACCACTGGCCATGGGGAGACTATCATGAGGTACAACCTAGCGCAGCGCATACTGGCTGATATCGCTTCTGGTGAGTCAGCTAAAGAATTCGTAAATTAGTTAAAACTAATACTGAAATTATTGTTTGTAGACCTGTCTGGCCACATATGGACCTGTACACAGCTTTCTTATCAACTCATTACTTCTATGGCGAAAAATTGTGTCAGCAAAGATCAAATATAGGTTTTGTTACTTTTCAAATTCAAACTGCTTTATTTGTAAATTGACAATAATTTAAAAAAATACCCTTTCTGAATAGTATTTAGTTTTTTAGCCAATTTCCCAAATAGGGAATAAGCTATTACCGTAGTACTCATGGTAAGACCTGGACCCGGGACCCATTTACTTTTTCGTTTTGAGGTCCCTAGAGGCCAAAAACACCATCCGTTCAAATTCATATGGATATATAGATATATATTTATATATATGTGTCCGTTAGCACGATAACTCGAGTAAAAATGATCCGATTTTGAATAAATTTTGTATAAACGTGTAAACCTACATTTATTCTAACGAGTTCGCGAACCAGCATGATCGGACTATGGGAGTGGGGGTTTATGGGGGGTTTTATGGGATAAAAATAAAAATAGGTTTTTCCCCATTTATGACCATAAAAGCACAAAATTTAGCGATTTCTTTCCAAACCATTTTGTAGAGCTTAAAAAAAACAAATAATTTAGTACAGTGAAGCGTTTTTGTGCGCCTAATGGTTAGGGAGAAAATTCCAAAACATAGTAAATTTAAAATTCCCATGTTATTTTTATGGAGAATAAGTCAACTGTTGTAGTTTTCTTGTTTATGGACATTTTTTTATCGAATTTGGAAAATACATTACAGTAGACTCCCTCTTATCCGGACTCCTCGGGACCAAGGCCAGTCTGGATAACGGTTTTTCCGGTTAAGTTGACGTCACCAAAAACTCATTAAAATGGACCGTTTACAGTGATATTCGACTTAAATTTAGGAGAGCATTGAATTTAGACTTGTGATCACTGGTCTCAAATCTTTCCCACAAGAACAGTTGTTAAAGTACCAACGACTTCCTGTCGATCTAGTCCGGTTAAACCAATGTGCTGATAAAAATTGTCCGGTTAAAGAGATGTCATTTCCGTCGAGTGTAGTCCGGTTAAACCGATGTCTGGTTAAAAGGTATCCGGATAAGAGGGAGTCTACTGTAATTTCTTACTAAACTATTAAGATTTTACAACAAAAGCACTTTTACCCTCCCTGTTGCAGCAAACCTAAGTACTCGTTAACACGTTAGCTGCCACGCCGACCCGATCAGGTCGGCAGCGGGATTTTGCATGACTTAAGTAAATTGATCCGTGACTTTTATCAGTGGTTGTTGGGGACTTTTTAAATAGTTATAATCTGAGAAAACAATGCTAATATGTTATAGAATGTTAATTTTAGTCACAAATTTTTTTATTTTACTTATACATCGACTACCAATAGGCTATATTTTGCCGACCGATCGGGTCGGCACATTTTTTTCTAACTTTAACATCATTGTTAGTGCTGAAATATGAATAAAACTTGAATCTAACTGTAATAAACTTGTTAGGAATGTAATAAAGATTAAACCGTATATTGACAAGATAGTTTTTAATTTCGCAACACGTTGTATACTTATGCTAAAACTACATATTTGAAATGAAAGAAATTACGTAATTTTTGTTGAAATGACAGTTAACATTTACATTTCAAATAACATTTCAAGTCACCTACATGGGAGAAAACAAAGCACTAAATGTGAAAAATACAATCGTACAGAATAACTACCAGAGTTCACAAGGGTCTTGCCTATTTATGTAAGTTCTTGAAACAATCTTTTCAAAGAAATGGTTTCCCAGGACACGATTCACAAAATGTAGTGATCTTCCTGAGGTTCTTTGTTATTTTTCGGTCTCCAGTTCGTGAAGCTCTTGCATAGTAGCTCTTGAAGCGGTTGCATAGCGCACTTTACAATTCTTCCGGGCTCTCCTTTTGTTCTTACCCTCGCCTACAAATATCACCGTTTCAGACAAGTGGTGATGTCCAACATGTTTCATTGGCTCGATTTGTCCATTTTGCAACCCTAGTAGTGCGTACACAATCTTTTCACTGAAGGTCGTAATGGAGTAGAGATGCTTATTCTTACTCTGAGAGTTGACCCCAGCTGCATCCTTGTAGGCGAGCCACTCATTGACGACCGCTGTACCCAGTAGGAACTCTTTTGCGACCTTATGGTACCGTCGCATAGATTTTCTAATGGCTGTGCTGTACGACGACATCTGGTCACTGACATCAATCCCCATCTTCGCCTTGTTGTACTCGACGATGACAACAGGTTTCAGAATGGGTTCGCCCTGCCTGGTTTTTTCCCCTGTATCAACATAGTCAGGAGGATGTTTGGTTGACATCATTCTCACTTCCCTCTTACCATTTGGTGTAAATGATACCACTTGGGTATTCAAGACATCTCATTTCACCCTTCTTCATGGGGTCATCGGAATTAGTGCCAATGGTTTTTTTACGAGGGAACCAGGCCCTGTTGCTGATAACACTTCCAACAAGGTGATTATTCCTTGCTAGAAGCATATTGGCAAGATCAACGGAGGTGTAAACATTATCAACATACAGTGTATGCCCTTGGTCCAAATAATTTCTCATGAGGTCCATTACAACTGATGCTGCTAATGTCAGGTTATCTTCAGTTCCTGTCCCAGAGCCCATGTAAACTTTCATCTTGTACGTGTAGCCAGCAGTGTTGCATATTTTAAATACCTTAATGCCGTACTTGTGGGTTTTATTTGGAAGGTATTGGCGAAATAGAAGTCTTCCTCTGAAAGGGATCATACTCTCGTCGATAACCACATCTTTGCCAGGAGTTTTGTTAGTCTTGAAGGAGTTGTTCAGGATTTTGATCAGAGGAGATATTTTACCTAGTCGGCCATCTCGCTCCATGTTCAAATTGTCGTTAAATGCCAGAATCTCAAAAGCAATTGGAAACGGTTTCTGCTCATTACCTTACCAGCAACAACATTCTTATACAATAAGTTTTTCTACCAGTAGTCTGTCAGCCGTGACATTGGCACTAGACCCATCCATAGTAAAAGGCCGAGAAATTTTTTCATCTCATTTGGATAGGTAGGCCACCATTTACAGAGTCTGCTACTACGATTCAATCGCAGTGTACTTATAACTTGATCAGCATTGCGATTAGTTTCATCTACCATCATTTCTAGTAAATCATCTGTTAAAAATGCATACAAAAATTCTTCTGGTTTTGCATTTTGGGGCAGGCCGAAAGCATACCTCGATGATCCTTCAAAAACAATGTTTTTCTGTTTGCCTTCAAACGGCTGCCATTTATCAAGTTCATCTTTTTTCATCTTTAACTTTTTGTTCTGTGTTTTAAAACTAATAAATATTTCTCCTAAGTTAATAGTGTAATCTTCCATTTCTATTTTTATCACTTTCACTCGCTACAGTCATATTTTCACTAAGAGAATCAATCATTTCATCCGTACCATTCACACTTTCTATAAAACCAACCTCATTGTCATCGATGGCACTGCCTGCCTCTGAGTCATCAGTAGGGTTGAAATCCGGGTCATCATCTGTGTCGTCCATCTCACTGTTTACATTACTGCCCCAACCATCATCACTTACACCATCCATATTTTGGTCAAATTCACTAGAAGGAGCTTTGATTGCTCTTACTATATCATCACTGCCTAGATTATCACCCATATTGAACTAACATAATACAATGAGCCAAACTTAGACAGAAAACACAACACGAACAACAGCTCGAGGTAGGCCTAGACTCAGACTGACATAAAGGCGCGAAACTGATGGCGGGAGCATTGCAGATCAGTGAAAAAATAGACCAAGAGCCTTTGCGCGGGAACAGCTGACACGGTGCCAACCTCTAAACGGTATAAACGTGGGACCGATCGGGCCGGCAGCAATTTTTTTCAATGAATATTCGTTGAAAAAAATCGCTACCGACCCAATCGGTCACATATTTTTTAACATTTATTTTAACAGTTCTAAAGTATATGTTGTTGGATTAGTGTAATATAAACACAATTAAAGTATAAATATCAAAATATAAATAACAGTAAAAGTTGGCATTACGCCGAAAATTTGAAAATAGGCCTCGGCAGCTACCTTGTCCCTTAATAAGTTTGAAAAGTTAATTAAATTTTATTATTTAAGATAATATAGTAGCAAACGATTGTGTCATAAAATGAAAGTTTTAAAATGTAAGTTTAATTGAGTGATGATTCTTGCTAATAATAGCTGGGGCGTATTGTCTAATGGTCAGTGGTGGATCCAGCCAGGGGGCGCCGAAAAAAATAATTTCCTACGATCGCAGCAAATTTGTGAAAATGTCCCGCCATCATGATTAACTTCACTTCCGATCGCAGAAAAATCAACTTATCCCGCTATGACGGGGACATCATCATGGTCATCTGCAATAGCCGTAAAATCGGGAATATCTCCCGCTATCACGTGGACATGATTAACGTCACCTGCGATCGTGGAAAATCTTTAACATCTCCTGCCATCAGACATCATCATCGTCACCTGCATTTTCCGTAAAATCGTTGACATCTCACGCTATGAGGGGTATCGTTATCGTCACCATATATCGCGACAAAATTGTGAACATCTCACGCCATCACAGGAACGCCTATCATAATCTGCGAACACGGAAAAATCTTAAACCTGATTTAAAACCCGTTGTTATCTATTAATAAAGCTATTAAGGATCACCAACTTTTGATAAAATAGTAATAGTTTTTTGTTGTTGTTAAGTGTGTTTAGATACCAACTCCCCATTGTAAAAAACAGACAAAGCTCAATTAGTTAAGTTGGGTGAGGTTCATTTGTCCGAGTTTTCAACTGTCCGAGTATGGTTTAAATAATAATAATATTTCGTTAAATCAACTGTCCGAGTTTTTAAATTATTAAAAAAAGTATCAAAATATCAACTGTCCGAGTTTTCAACTGTCCGAGTAGGGTCAACATCAAAATGTGACACTGCGCGCCGAGACTAGCGTGTCTAA